GGAGCCATGATAACCAGATAATCAGTGGTATTCACTTCACCTCTCAGTGCTTATAATAACAGATTTGATCATTTGTAGCTAGCTAGTTAAAAAACATTAGCTTCCTTAGTTGGTTGAAACGATGGTCTCTGACTGTGTTTGAATCACAAACTTGTTTTTGTTGTTTGTTGGTTTTGGAAAGGCTATAAAATGACACCACCCTCTGAGTGCTTTAAATGCAGAGTATCACTTACTACAGCCACATGCACACTGCTTGTCCATGTGGAGAAATCCAAAGCCTGACTGGCCTGCTGTGCCTAGTTACAGTTACTTGGCTATGATTAGACAATCAGTGTTTGGGGTATGGGTTTAGCAAGCGGTCATTTGTTGTCACATAACTGTTCATTCTTTATAACACCATTTCTTTGGGTTTTATTAGATTGTCATTTATTATTATTAGATATTGCACAAGAAAGCACTGTTAAGATCCCTATTGGCCAGTTCCAATGACAATTGGGAAGTCTAAAAAAACCTGTGACCCACATTTATCTATTTTTGAATCAGTGGGAATTGTAGACACCAAAAGCGAAGTAGTTATCCATTGATCCGGAGGCTGTTTTTTTGGCAAAGTCACTACATGTCTCAGCAAGGCATGCTACTCTATGGATTGTGTCCAAAGGTTTTAACCCACACCAGATATCTTTATCCGAAGAGATCCAGGATAATGTCTGTGTTCCAGGGGTATAAGAAGCATGTTGTTTGGACATGTTGTGCCTTTCTACTGTCAAAGGTTTTGAGGGAAAAGGAAAAACACTCTTTCTTACTTTTTCCCCATTAGTTTTTTTTTTTTTTACTTAATAACAATAGTATTTACATTACAGAAAGAAAAAAAAACAATGCATGGTGCTGTCAGTCTACTGTAAGATATTTGATTTTGTGTATCACTCCTTTACAATTAGCCCCATTAGCCTTCTATACCATATTCTTCTACCATTTTATGTTTCTTATCTCTCTTTGGTGTCCTGCTGGCACACATAAACACTGGCCTATTTCCCTGGTTGACCTAACTGCATCACCCATTGGCAGGTTCCCTCTGTGGAACAGCACTACCTCTGAGGCTCCATCTATTAGATTCCAGAGCTGTGGGTTGAGAGCCCAGACACCCATGCTGGCACCTAGGCTTTACCATTGAACAGAAATAACTTTCATATCGAGCCACTTTTCCCTAATTTTAGTAATGTTTTGGCTCTCTTAGCTGGCAGCGTTTACTGCTGCTGTGACACGATAGCCCATGTCAAATTTGTTCTCATTGGTCACACCAGAACTATAACCAGCAAACAATATCGGCTGTCTAGCTTTAACCTCCACAACAGCTCAATTTTCCACTCATTGTAGGCTCTCCTTTCTTATGTACAATCCATATTCTTTTGCAAAGTTGTTTTTGTCTTGTTTCAGTGTCATTCATTTATATGTGTTTAGAGTAACTTAACAGACCCTGAATATCATGTTTTTGTTGACCTCCAATGCTTGAACTTCAACCCTTACTATAGCAAAATAGAGGTGTACTCGAAGACCAGCATTGTTGGATGTGGTTACAGGTGCCTTGAAAGTCTTGAAACTTTCCACAGAGAGGGCAGCAAATGTTAAATGTGATTAATATAGTATTTCATCAGTCATTTATAGTTCAGGGACTGTGATGATGGACTATGATGTTGCTCAATGAATCAATTACAACCAGTCAATAGCCAAAATATGCTAACAGATTCTATTTTAACAAGACCAAATACAACCTCACAAATATTCAAAATATTTCAAGGATATTATTAGTTGTAAATAGAAAAATACGTACGTACATGGCTGGTTTTATAGAAGGTGTTTATAATGAAAAACCTTATTAATCCCACATGACCTCTCTGCAAAGTATAATCTTGCTTTAACTTTTTATGTACTGAGTATATGACATTACCACAGATTACTGCAGTGGTTAGCACTGTTGCCTCACAGCAAGAAGGTCCTGGGTTCAATTCCCTGCTGGGGACAAGCAGTTTCAACTATTCCTGTACTACTACTAATACTAATACAATTGCAAGTCGTGGAATTTCGTGGTAATCAATGAATACTTTTAGACTTTATCTGATGTTTAGATAGACAATTCAAGTTGTATCACCTGAATGTTTTCAGTTTTGGGCTTCACAAACCCAGACCTACACAATGTTGATAGTTGGTTCACGACAAACCTACCATACGAAGTGGTATACAGTATAGCATTTGCATATTGGCTTATTATTGGCTCTGTAGTGTCACACAACTTGACTAATATACCATGTACCTTGCGTTTTTCCCCATTTCTCATCTATAATCTTAAGCACACCAGTCCTCCCAGACCCAACTTTCATCTGTAATTGTCAAGTGGTGTTCGTTGCTAGCATCATCAGTAGATTTTCCGGGTCGAGCGCATTTCAAGCTGCAAACACAGGCTGCCATGCCTGACATCCATGATTCATTATTGTGAAAGTATAATTGCCTTTAACTTTGGGCTCTTTGTGAGGACTGTCAAGAGAATTGCAGAGTTTACAATTGGAATCATCACTTCTTTTCCCTGTATTAAAAGAAACCTGCAATTACTCAGTCAAAAGGAAAAGGGGAATATTCTTGTATCTGGTTTATTCATAGGAACATGGAGATGCAGGTTTTCAGAGGTTTACATTAGTAGCTTAATTTGAAGATTTTGAGTGCAGTAGAGCCAGTAGCTAGGTTACCCTGTGCATGTAAATGTTGCACATTGTGTTCTTAAAGTAACCCGAGTATATCTGATGGGCAGGATTTTGAATGGAATGCGATATACGATACATTTAATATGTATAGTTCCTACAATGCATCCCTGTTACAGTCAGGAATTAAAGTACTGATTGAATTCACACAAAAGCAGAAGAATCTAAAAGCTTTTAACACAGCAGCAGCCAGGTAGTGCAAACTGACACATTTGATTTCAGCACTTTCTCTAAAATGCTGATGAAGAGCGAGAGGCCAAAAGTGCAGAGAGCCATTCGTTTCTGTCAGACAGCTCTTTTGCATTAAAAACGTATTGAGATTTATTTCTGTGAGGCTGCCCCCCCCCCTCTCATGGCTCCATCTCTGTACCTGTCAACAATTTTTCAGCTCATTTCATTCTCTTGCTCTTCTCCCTGCTGTTCATTCCTCCTCAGTTTTAATCTATTTCTCATTTGCTTAGAACTGTAACTCATGTGCTTTGGATCAGAACTTAGATAAAAAAATTTTTAGACCCTAAATTAAGTTTAACCACATTGGAACCATTTCACTAAGTCATCTGCTAAACTAAAGATGATTTGCTTGTCTTGTTAGACATAATGTGCTTTACTGGCTTGAGGGACCATTGGGGTAGAGTCGTAAGTAACCCCTCTTGATATTGCCTCTCTCTCCCACTCTACCCAGGATGAAGTATATATGGACTGGCCATATGTGTGCGGTCGCAGCCTATGGTGTGTGTGGGACGGAGTTGTGGACTCTGCTTCTCAACGCGCTCCGCTGCAACACTAAAGTTTTGGTATGAGCTCACAACAGCTGCTTCCAGCTCCACACATCTGCTACACTGATAGAAAGCTATATCGACTATATAGAATGATGGTTGTTTTGTTCCTGACATTAACTTTTAAAGCTGCTGCAATCTATTGTTTGTATTATCAATGGTTGGATTGGATATTGTTGCCCATAAACACAACTCCAGTGCCAATGCCAAGGCTGCACAGTGTCTACTATATACCGTTCAACATCCTGACCACCTGGGCACCCTGGTGATCATAATGTTCTGCAGCCCCATACCAACAAACTGTGATGCACTGTGTGTTTCTAAGCAGTTTGAGCTACAGTAGCT